ACTTGGTTTTATGCTCAAGCTGGCTTGATTTTTAATAGTGGTCCTAAACTTGTGATAAAATTTTTAAGTACTTAAAACAAATGTAAACGATTGAGCATAGGCACATTTTCATTTTTAAAAAGCTCAACCGTCTCAAAAGACACAATTACGTAGCACAGCACCACAACAGAAGTACAATGCACTGGAAGGCACAAGTTTAAACATATATGAGCAAATTAAGGCATTACATCCATAGATTTAGTTTCTTTCTGTATTAAAGAAACCATATGCTTGGATTCTGGATAAATTGGATCATGCCATTATGAAGCACTTTTGGCATCAGTCTAGGAGAAAGCTCGTCACCTTCTTTTGTGTTTACAGCACAAATTAACTAAACAAGAGATCGAAAGAACGGCCACATAAATAAAACCTCAGTGAATACAATAGATTCTTCAGCAGCAATTCAACACTTAAGATTAAAGGGAACAGAGAAAGGAAAAAAAGAAAAGTATCAGTGGAGTTACTATTTGTGCATGCACCTACGTGTCTTAATAACCACTGGCTTGATTTTTTTTCTAAGCTCCTAATTGCTTCTTACACGCTCCTCCTGGAACTGAAGAGATTGCTCTTACTTGCTGGCGAAAATTCTCACACCCTGCGGGAGATCACTTTACTCTTATCAACGTCTTCAATGCCTTCAAGGAAGCCAGTGCAAACTCCGCAAGTCAATGTAAGTGTACCCATACCAGACAAAATGAAGCAAGTTATAACCAATTTTGAAAAAACGAAACAAAACCCCCCAAACTGTTGGCATTTCGTTCATAAACCCTGTTTGAATTATTCTTTCTAGAATTGCCAATTTGCAGAGAAGAGAAACCTAAGATAGTAGCCATTACAAATGAATATTAGTTTTAGTTTATTAACTAATTGAAAGTGACCTAGTACAGTGTACCTCATCCAACAAGGATACGTCAGCACTGTTACTATTGTCACTTGAAGTGACATTGTTCAAAAACAGAAAGATGGTTCCTCCTGTAAGGGCACATAATCCAGGTTTAAGATGTGAAACGACATAAACACAGTTGAGAAGGGACTTGATTCCCCCAGCAGCCCAAAAATTCTGGTGTTTTTCTGAGAGCTGTCAACTAAAAGTTTAAGGGAAAAAATTGAAATTAGTAAAGTTCACATTTACAGGAAACCAAATAAAAGCCAGGGGACTGCACAGCAGTCAGAAGCTCTTTACAGTATTTTTCTGTGCTCAGACATCTTGCTCACGTTCGTTTAGCCTGAGTCCATGTCCTGGTTTCAGCTGGGGTAGAGTTAATTTTCTTCCTAGTAGCTGGTATAGTGCTATGTTTTGGATTTAGTATGAGAATAATGTTGAACAGGGCTCGGTAGGCATGGGCAAGGCCCCAGCATGTTGCAGTGATCTGTGTCTCTCTGGAGTTGCCAGGGTGACAGCATACTTTTTCCAAATAAGGGATTTTGAATATTTTTATTCAGAAAAATATAGCTAAAATCCCATAAAACCAAGTAAGGATATCAAGTATTGCCCACACACTTTACAAGTACTTAGACATTGGAGTGACAGATTTGCATATACTAAGTAAAAACTTAAGACAGGACAGTAGGATTGCTTCACATTCAGTCATGCTGAACGTTGAAGGTCGGTCCAAGAGAACTTGTCCTTTACCAGCATGCAGGATCATCACCAGCACTACAAATGTGATTTCGGTTCCATATCCTGGCCTGAATCCAGAAAGCCTGAAAATAGAGTTGCTATTCTGTTTGAGGCTATTACTTTTTACAGACCAAATAAGGGATTTTAAACATTTTTATTCAGAAAAATATAGCTAAAATTCCATAAAACTAAGTAAGGATATCAAGTATTGCCCACTCACTTTACAAGCAAGATCTATGAGCCTAGGTTGTCCATCTGGTTTTTGTCATCAGAATTTCGGACAGCTCTGACACAGCTACTCACTCAAAAATGTTTTTAATCTATTGCACCAGTCAAAGAGCATTTTACAGAGCAGTATCTGTGGATAGTACCTACCAGTAAGACTTTGCTTCAACCTAAAATACTGTTTTTTCCTCCACAGACTACAGTAATGAGAAATGGTGTCGTGATTATTTTCTAAGCTGTTCTGCACTGAGGATGGCAGGAATTATCAGAGCCGAACTAGTAGAGATTATGAAGCGTATTGAACTTCCCATTTCGGAACCGGACTTTGGATCAAAAGAAAATATACTAAGCATTAAGAAATCTCTCTTATCTGGTTACTTTATGCACGTAAGGAAAAATATTGTAGTTTCACTTACTGCATTGTTAACTTATATAGAATGCTTCCAGAGAACTTAAGAATGCTTCCAGAGAACTTAAGTTAGGTAGTGAAATCTTTTGATCATCAGAAAGGATAAAAGCCATTTTTTCCACAGTTTATCAGACAAACACTTCTGTCAATTCCAACCTTCTCTCCGGGGTTCAGCTATCACAGCATGAAGTCCCCACGCTTCACTGCAAGAGGAAAACTGTCAATATGCCTTTCACTCAAGTTTTTTACCTCAAAAAACTCTTTAACTTGTAATATTCTCTCACACATTATTTCCTTTTTGAAGATGTTTTTGTGAAAATACCCTGGAAACAGAGAACTGACTTGCTGAATATGTGTAGGTATATATAATACACAGCTTTCTTCATCTCAACCAAATGAGGTACTGTGATTGTAAACATAAACAAGAACGATTAATTTATTCCCACTTGAAAACATGCTTTCCTTCATACCGCTATGCTCTACCTAAATACAAGAATGATCCCTCCAAACTACGCTACTTCAAGTGCCCGGCCACACATTGTATTTATAATTCTCTAAGAATACATCTTTTTTCACACAGACCCTTCAAAGCCCACTGCCAAGTTCAGATATTTACTGTATAAGCCTGCCCTCATTTGTTGCAGGCACTTTCTTTAACTCTAAGCCTCATTTCATAGTATCTAGTCCCTAGCTTTCCCACAGAAATTTGGGAAGAGGTCTAGGCTCTCCAGTTGAAAGTATCTGAATACAAATTTAATTCCTGGTTTTAGTAAAATAGGCAAACACTGATCTATGCATCTTGTACATTCAATTAAGTAATGGATAACTCTTTGCTTTTTTTTTTTTTTTTAGATTGCTCGTGATGTAGATGGCTCAGGTAACTACTTAATGTTAACACACAGACAAGTGGCCCAGCTTCATCCTTCCTCATCATATTATAACAACAGAAGGATTCCTGAGTGGGTGTTATTCCACGAGTTTAGTATATCGGAAGACAATTCCATCAGAGTTGTCTCTGAGATATCACCCAATCTGTAAGTTAACAATGATGAAACTGTTTCTTCACTCATACCTCTACCACAAAAGCGTAACTTAAGTGACAGACAGGGTGAGGATGTGTGTGTACATTGACAGCAATGCTTGGAGACGTCACTCCAGTCATCTTCTCCCTTTCCTTTATCTCTGTCACAAAAATAGCTACCTTCTGGTTCTGTTGAGAAAACATTCCAAGCATAACTGATTCACTCTAGGTAGGGATTTTGGTTTACAAAAACAAACCAAAAAACCCAGTAAAATAGGCATAAGAAAAGGACAATCTTCATATCTAGTCAAGCAAGAGGAGCTGGTATCACTGGAAGGGTGAAGAAATTGTTGTTTTTTCACACTTTTTATATTCACTAGTGAATATATGTGGAATAAATTTTATTTCTTTGCTGCCAGTATTGTTCTGTCATTGTGTGTACCTCTGCTTGATGTCTTCATTTTCATTCAGAACACCCACTGAATTAGAGCTCAAAACTATTAAAAAAGGGAAGAATTGATCTCATGCCCTTACTATTCTTTTCATGCAAAACAAAACATCATTTAAGTCAGCCTTTTGTATTTCCTAATGTCTGCTGATCTGTTCAGGTACTGAAGTAAGTCTCAATGTCTGCCACTCTAACTGTAATCAATTCATCCATTGAAAAAAACACCTTACAAGTAGCAAAAGTTTCTTACAAGGTAAAATATACAGAAAAAAAATCAAGGAAGAGTTAACACAGCAGTGTATTCACAGATTAATCTAGCTGGAAATTTCTTTGTTCCCTGAAAAGCTATTTTCCAGCAAATCTTTTTCTCGACATGTTTTATGTACCCAGCCAGCTAAATCACCCCGTATCAACTGTTTATGGATTCAGGAAAAGACTACAGTCTTTCTTCTGGAAAAATCTCTTTACACCAAGAATATACATTTCACTGTCGTATCTTTTCTATTTTCAATGTTTATATGAAAGCCTTTTTCATACTTCTATTGAACCAAAAGTATGTTCAAATCCAGAAAAATTACTATTTAATGCAACCTGCAGCATTGAGAACTGAACGACAATCACCTGAAGTGTAGACTGAGTACATTAAGTGCAAGTCTACTGAAAGCCCAAACTACTACTACATCTTGCAGAGAGTTTTGGTTTTGAACTGAAATACCAACTTTGCAGCTGTATGCATCAGCATGTTGCTGGTGTCTGTTGTAGAAGCCTGGAAATAGCTATTCAAACATTTCAAAACTCAATTAAAAAATAATAATGTTTTGTCTTATTTCCTCACCAGATTCGTGGAGCTGGTACCTCAGTATTACTTTAGCAATCTTCCTCCTAGTGAAAGTAAAGACATTCTGCAGGAAGTGATCAATCACTTGTCACCTGTTTCAACCATGAAGGAGGAACAGAAAACTAACAATGACAGCAAAGAAAATGAAAAATTTCCCCAAACTCCCACTGAACAAAGATGTATTATTCAGTAATTTTAGACTAAACTATCATATATTGGACAAATATAAATAAATATACATCCTCATCTTAACCCATGTAATTATTTCGAATTTTTGACAAATGTATTTAACAGAAGAAACATAGAAAAAGCACTTAACAAAAGGAGTTGCATGTATTGTTTCGTACCAAAAATGTACGATTTAGTTTTGGTGATAAACATATTGAGCAGATCTTCAAGTTTCCTTGTGACATTGGGTTTTTATTGACTGCTTAATGATGATACCAAACTATAAGAAGATACAATATTTAAAAATATTAATTTGATGGATATTTGCAGTTGTACCACCTAGTTGTCTTCTAAGTGTACAGAGGAAGCATTTGGGCAGTACAAAACCACTAACTCAATAGCAGTCTTCTGAAAATACTGTGAAGTCATAATTCTGCATGGCTGCTTTATAAAAAATGGTGTTTATAGCAAAGTTCAGAGCGAGAGATAGTCTTTGAGTTTATCCATAATTACATTAATTCCATCAGCTGGAACTATCATAACAGTCCGCAAAGGTTTCATTGGTACATCATCAAAGGACCATCTGCCACCCAAACAGGTGTCACTTTCCTCTTGCACAGAGAAGTTGAACTTCAGAAGGGCTTTCTAAACAACAGAAATAAATGCATTAGAATTAAAATTTTTTATTAGCATGAAGATAATACATCATCTAAACAAAGTAAAAATAACGACCCTATTATGAACGTTTATTAAGAAATAGTTATTTTCTTCCCTCTCAAAAGGTCCACCAAAAAACCTACAAGATAATCTACTATTAAGTGTTTTAAACTATTTGCTTTTCACAGAATTTACATAATTCATATGAAATTCTAAAATGATTGCTATCATTATAGTTTGGTATCAGAAAAAAAGACCTGAGAGGGGGTGTGTGTGGGGAAAATCAATGCCCTCTTTATATGCTTACTGTGCCTCATTTTAGATGGTTTTAAGACAGCATCTCATTCCATATTATCACATTAAGAAATGCCGACCCTTAGAAGCTATTGTGCCAACTAGCAGGGATGCTTGACCAATAACAGGAATATCAGGCTCTTAATAGACCTTCAATCCTGGAACAAGAGCAAACCACTAGCTGCGTAATTTTGAGAATTAGCAGATCAGCCAAAACCCAGATAAAAGGAACAGCGAGAGAGCGCAGGTGGAATAGAGCCTACATTAAAGATGATAGCTCTTGGACAGCCTCTAGATGGCTGGAGCCATTGAAAGTCATGTTTATAAAGGATGCTTCTTCAAATAGGTAGGTGTCCATAACGTGTATTATTTCTTTTCAGTGATATAGACTGCATACAGATAGAACGGTCCTTTTTTATTAGCTTTCCCAGACAAAATGCCTGATGGATAAGAAAAACTTACCTAACAAATGTTTCCAGTTCTCACACAAGTCAGATTAAGAACTACGAACTGAACTCCCAAGTAGAAAAACTTATCTAACCTCTTCCCTTTGCAGGGAAAGTTAAGATCCAGTCTCCTTTTAGGATTGCTATTTACTAACAGTATCTCAAGGCTGTAAATTTAATTTTGGAAGAACCATCAAATTAATTGAGTGACTTTGTTCAAGAACAAACAATTTGAGCAATGGAGGCCCTAAACCTTTAATCAATTCCAAGTCTGGTTATAATAGAGCTTTTCTTCTCCTCCCTCAATAACATTTTAAAGAACAGGATAAAGCACAGGGAACTGACAAGTGCAAAAAGGTTTCTCTCTGTTTTATATGGCTCTAAGTGTCTGCCTCACTGCATTTAATACTGTTTTATTGCAATCTAATTAACGTTATGTATGCTCAGGGAGGATATACACTCCAACACTAATTTAACACATATACATTATTAAGTACAGAGACTCACTTAATCTAATATCCTCCATAATGTTTAAAATTAATTTGTTAAAAACGCTAGAAAGACTTAGAAAGAAAAGCATGTTCAGTTTGAATCTATCCACTTGAGTTGAAAATTATTGCAATTTAGATAAAAGCACACAATTAGTATTTAAAATGCCACTCAAAATAAGAGAGATAAATACAAAATAGGCCTTCTAAAACATAACACCTGTGGACACGTGGGCATCACAGGCTTCTCCCCTTCAGTTTTTCAGTAACATGTTTACATAGAGTTCAAGTTCAGTTGGTAATGCTGCTGTGGCAGAAACACAGAAAGAAAATCCCAAACTTGTTACTGCATAGAGGCTACAACAGTATTCCCTACAGCTAACAATGAATTCACCCACTTCATTTTTCTTCTTCCCAAGAAATAAAATTCCAGCCATATCATAGCCTCTAACAGAGAATGTCATGAATGATTACAAACAGGAACCTTTGCCATTAACCATATGATACACGTGCAAAGACCTTATCTGGTAGGCACTGCCAGAAATGAAAAATAATGGGGTCTTGACAAAGCAGTAATAGTGTAGAATAATATTTTTAAAGCTTTGGAAAAAAAGAAAGAACAATGAAAAATTCTTTGCATTTCAAAGTACATTTTCAATTTAATTTCCTGCATCTTCCCCTGTCCTGATTTGGCTTGGGACCAGCAGAATTGTGGAGACAGGTTGCCTTAGGAAATAGGAAGTAATATTTTCATCTCAGTATTTTAGCACTTTTTATTAATATATTCGTCCTGAGTAGAATAGAGACAGAAAAGGGAAGTGATAGCTACTTGTTTGGATCTTCAAAAGTTTTTTTATTCTGAGCATTTTTTGAAAGTAACAGGTATCCAAAAGGAAATAGATAAATCAGCTTTCCACATAATACCAACAACGACGACACAAATGCAGAGCTTTGCATCTGTTAAGTTTCTTGGGAAGACATCTCAGAGAAACACATTTAACTGCATTACCAAATCTAAATAAAGCCTCAACAGCTGTTTTTTCTGACCCAGGACTAACTATGTAGAGGCAAGAAAGAGAGGTCTGTGTATTTAAGTATCAACATGCACCGCAGATGCTGATCGAGACTCTAACAACAGATTCCTCTGCATTTTTTTGAATCTTTAGTCTTCTAAGTGCTTAAAGCTGTGACACATGATTAAGTTAGAGCACCCTTGCAAGCTACTACCAGTTGTTTGAGCAGCCACTCTTACACACCACTTGTGATGTAAATCATGTTAGCTTGAATCTCACTGACAGATATTCAAGCTAACTTGCACTTCCTGCAATTTACACACCCGCAGTCAAGTCTTCTCTGTTCAGCTGACATAGCAATTTAACAAGTCTTTCACATTTCTTATTATTCAGATTAAAGACAACTGCACTGTTCCCCAAATAAAAGGAATTTCAAACTTTTGTAAACTCAGAAGGCCTGGGACATGCTGCTAAATTCAATATCCGGATTTATTACCATTCATTCGTCCTAAAAACGTGGACATTCCATTCACAGTATTTCAACAAGCCTGACAATTATTACATTCAATTCAATCTCTTCAGCATTGCTATAGGAGTAAAGAGATGAAGTTTGTTAATTCTTTGAGGCCAAGACACTGGCCTCAAGACAAAGTAACACCTGATCTTTCCCCTGAAGTCTCTTCTTATTTCAGGTATTTGAATTTTTCCATCACCCTCATAGCAATGGAGACCCTATCAGGTAGTAACGCTGCCACAGGCAGTCTATGCCATACCATCTTATACTCAGGTTAATTGTGACCTGATACAAATAACAGATTAGTAAATTCATGCCAATACAGAGGATCAATTTAATAATTTGGACTTATGGATGGCACACCTCTCCATGATTCTCTAAATACAAAAGGTGTTGTGTTCAATACACAAAAATAGGTTGCTTGCTCATCTCTTGATACTACTCTAAAAAAAGCTGGATTTAATCTAAAACATATGTGACCGTATCTTTTTAAAAGCCCCCCTTGAATTTAAGGTGAAACATCTTTTTTGCTGATATGTAAAGAAAAATAAACATTTTAAATTAAAAGAATCACATGTTACCTCATAAAAGAATTCTTCCTCTGCATTTGCAAACATTAATTCCTCCTTTTGTTGACTTCTCCCTTCCCTCCTCTTAGAATTGCTCTTTGTGGCTTCTGTAAAGGTCTTGCTGATAAGAAGATAATAGTGGCACTTTCCACAAGGTTTGTTTGTTCTCTGTGCCTCAGTCAACTCTTTCCTAAAGATAAATAAATGTTTACACATACAATTTAAACCCTCAACAAGTGTATAAGTAAACCTTATAATGTATTAGTATAGAAAGGATATTCATATTGCAGCCTATTCTTTTACGACTGCCTCAGAAAACAGCTTTTGCATACACATTCCTAGTATTTAAACATACTATTTGCACTTTAAAACAATAAAAGTATGTCTTTCCACACCTCACAATGTAACTCTTTTTCCCCCCAGAAACTTGATCATGGTAGAGTCTGTGAAATGACTGTAAGTGCAACTCTCCTGAAAATACATCACATTATCACCTCCATGAGGAACTATAACTGAAGAGCCAGAAGATACTCTTGCCCACCCTAGTGTTAAACATGTTGTCACTGTAACACTCCAAACCTTTCAGACAAAGAGGCTGAGACCTGAATTTGAGTTGTGACAAGTGCTGTACTAGTGGTAAACCTCAAAGCCAAGCCTTCAAGCATCTCATTTCTTTCTTTAAAAACCTTCCTGGCCAACCCTATCAACATGTTTTCTTTCATATCAAAATAGTAATTCCTTAAAGGTCCATTTTATTGTTTAAATGAGCCATGACAGCCGTCAACTTAATCTGACTTCTAATCTCATCTCACATGAGAGAAAGGAAGAAAAAAGAAAAAAAAAAAAAAAGAAAAAAATAATCTTAATTTGATTACTGGAGTTCCTTATCCAACATAATTTCCTGGTTCTCAACATGGCACTAAAACAATAACATGCTGTATCTCAGTGGATTCATTTACTTACTGTCACCCAGCCTACGACACAAATCCATGAATCGGTAGAGATCAACCAGCACCTAACCTGCTTCACTCATTTACTCGAAACTAATCAAAACACTGCATATGGTTTTCATGGGCCAGAACTCATCCACCTTATAAGCCTGTCCCTCAATCCAATTCTTCCATTCCAGAGCCAGACATTAACACATGAGCAGAAACACTGAAATTGCTCATTATCAGCATGCTATAAAAAAAAAGCTTTCATTTTTAAATTTTCCTAGATTGATATGAAAATAATCTGCAATGTGAAGATAAACAACAATATACACACAGCTATTTCTGCAGACCAGCACATATTCTTAAATGATTTCCTCTATCTTAAAGTATAAAGAGTTTGAAAAGCCTAATGATATAAAAAAAAATTAAAAAAATAACTAAAGACCTTATATGAGATGAAAATATTTTTTTCTGTTCATGTCTTACTTATATCTATAGTATCACCTGTCTTAACATAGTTCTATATACATAAGATTTCTGAAAAAATATGAAGAAAAAGTACTATTCAACATCACGTCAGAAAAAACCCAAACAAACCTACTGAAGCTGCTGGTGCATCGGCAGAGCAATCTGCGGTGGTACATTAATGAATCTTTCACTTAGTAGAAGACCCACAGGCTTAGTATTGTCATTTAGGAGCTTATTCAGTTGTTCAACTACATGCTGTTCACAGCTCTTCTCACACCGACTTAGAATCAGTTCTTTGATTTGTTCAGCACACTGTGTACCCTAGAATCAAAAGGTATATTTTCTTTACATTACAGAACAATTATTTATACAAGAAAACCTCGAATGTGAATATCAAGGGAATATTCTACAGGCCTATTGGCAACTTCCTTAAGTGGTCTCTAAAGCACTGTACAATTTCTCTGAAATTATTTACCAACCTTGAAGCTGAGGGCAAACAAAGGTTCTTAACTGACAGGACCGCAGCTAGAAGCTGCAGCACCAGTACACTCCACAGGAAAACTCAAAAGCTGCGAAAGATGAAAAGTGAAGAAATACAAGAGGCCGACAGCTCAGTTACCCTGAACTACTTATTAGAGCTAGTTTTAACTCTCTATTCTCCTCTTTGCTTTATGTTTTGCTTTAGTGGGCATGGTGTTGTTGGGTTGATGGTTGGACTCGATGATCTTGGAGGTCTCTTCCAACCTTTAATGATTCTATGATTCTATGATTCTATGTTTGACCTTCAGCAAATTACGAAGGACTAAATCCAAAAGAAAGCTAAATGATGTGCAACTTTTAAGACCATAGTCCTCCATGGTGAAATTCAAAATCCTGATCCGGCTGTCTAGGCTTGTTATACAAGGCAGAAAAGCAGGACGCAGTGTCACTTATTACTGTCTAGACGTTAATGAGGAATACCAACCTTCCTTTCCATTAAGTTTAAGCAGCTTATAAAACCAAAGACTTCATCATCGTCGTCATCATCGTCACTACTGTCTTCTTGGATTTCTGCTTGCTATTTAATGAAAGAAAAAGCAACAACTCATATTGACATTATTCTATTTCCATTCTCTGCAGCAAGAAATGTTTTCCTTTCCAGAAGATGCTCGGCAGATGACAACCATCTAGGTAATCTGTACAAACACACAACCTACAAATTCTGGTTATGGTTATGAAAGTGCCACATCAGTGAATGTCTCTGTGTACTTGGAGCCAGCTATACAGAGAGCCAGAACATGTATCTTGTACAGCAGGATCTTTTGAAAGGCTAGAATTTGATAGCTCACATATAATAAGCAACATCTCAGTACAAGGGATGGCAATATCTTAAGCAAAACCAATTTCCTTCAGTTTCTAACATAGGGAAATAAACCTGCAAAGTCTTAAAAAACATAAAGCAATAGAGCTTTGATAGAGAGTGAAACAAAAAGCTCAACAAAACTCGCCAGTGAAAAACCTGGGGAAAGAACTGGGGGTCATACAGTTGTAATATAAGGATCAATACTAAACTTGGGCGGAAAAACTGTTGGCACAGGACAAAAAGGGAATGTATAGCAATGATAACATGCAACATGGTACAACAGCATAGCTGTGCTCTGGGGGCAGCTTGTTTGGGTTTGAATGTAACGTGGCCATGACAGCTTGAGCACTATACAGTACTGAACAGCTTCCTTAGCCAGGAGTAACTGAGGAGCCTCTGCAGAGTGCTCCACTGTCATAGCAAAAGTTGTTCAAGACTCATTTTGGGATCCTTTCCTATGCCCAAAGAACTCCGCACAAAAGGAAACTGCATGCAGGATATTTTTGGTCTACATCTCTGTACATCCTGAGAATGCACGGAAATCACAAGGTCCTATTTCTTATGGAGATGGTAACAAACTTCTCTACAGCATTTACAGTATTATTACTCTACTACACCAAAATTCAGGGAGAAAAGTGACATGCCTTTCATATGCAAAAAAAACCCCAATCAAAATAATCAACCAAATTCCTTATTTGACTGGAAGTAGGCATGGAAAATTTCAGCTCCCACAGAAGAATTATTCTCAAAGCAAGAAAGCATACAAATTACAAAGACAGGTTCCCCTTCTGCAAGTCCGTTATGTCATTTCAACATAAAAAGTATTGTACTTCATTTACAAACATAAATTCTGTCTTACCTTGATAATACTTCCAATATGATTCTGTTGTATTAATATATCAGTTAATTCAGCAGTGTTAACAGGAGCTTTTAGAAACAACTGGAAAATAAGAAACAAGTATTAAGATGTTCTAGGCCTGACGATATATCATGGGCCACTTAGTAGGAAAAAAGCCAGTAATTTCTCTAAGTTGTTATGCAACACTGTTCCATTTTTAATTTCCATTTACTGAGTTTGTTTATTTAACTTCCTCCAATACAATACTGTAAAAACTTAAAATCAGCTTCTTGAAGCCCTTGCTCCTCAACCCTCCACAAGCTGGCATTCTGCATACCTGGTATCCTTTTGAGTTTGGTATGATCTGAATGCTTGCTGAGCATAGGTTTACGACAGAAAGAGCCAAAAGAAGACTGGAAGCTGCCGTGTTGAACAGACACATTATTAGAATCAGTTCTTTGATTTGTTCAGCACACTGTGTACCCTAGAATCAAAAGGTATATTTTCTTTACATTACAGAACAATTATTTATACAAGAAAACCTCGAATGTGAATATCAAGGGAATATTCTACAGGCCTATTGGCAACTTCCTTAAGTGGTCTCTAAAGCACTGTACAATTTCTCTGAAATTATTTACCAACCTTGAAGCTGAGGGCAAACAAAGGTTCTTAACTGACAGGACCGCAGCTAGAAGCTGCAGCACCAGTACACTCCACAGGAAAACTCAAAAGCTGCGAAAGATGAAAAGTGAAGAAATACAAGAGGCCGACAGCTCAGTTACCCTGAACTACTTATTAGAGCTAGTTTTAACTCTCTATTCTCCTCTTTGCTTTATGTTTGACTTTAGTGGGCATGGTGTTGTTGGGTTGATGGTTGGACTCGATGATCTTGGAGGTCTCTTCCAACCTTTAATGATTCTATGATTCTATGATTCTATGTTTGACCTTCAGCAAATTACGAAGGACTAAATCCAAAAGAAAGCTAAATGATGTGCAACTTTTAAGACCATAGTCCTCCATGGTGAAATTCAAAATCCTGATCCGGCTGTCTAGGCTTGTTATACAAGGCAGAAAAGCAGGACGCAGTGTCACTTATTACTGTCTAGACGTTAATGAGGAATACCAACCTTCCTTTCCATTAAGTTTAAGCAGCTTATAAAACCAAAGACTTCATCATCGTCGTCGTCATCATCGTCACTACTGTCTTCTTGGACTTCTGCTTGCTATTTAATGAAAGAAAAAGCAACAACTCATATTGACATTCTATTTCCATTCTCTGCAGCAAGAAATGTTTTCCTTTCCAGAAGATGCTCGGCAGATGACAACCATCTAGGTAATCTGTACAAACACACAACCTACAAATTCTGGTTATGGTTATGAAAGTGCCACATCAGTGAATGTCTCTGTGTACTTGGAGCCAGCTATACAGAGAGCCAGAACATGTATCTTGTACAGCAGGATCTTTTGAAAGGCTAGAATTTGATAGCTCACATATAATAAGCAACATCTCAGTACAAGGGATGGCAATATCTTAAGCAAAACCAATTTCCTTCAGTTTCTAACATAGGGAAATAAACCTGCAAAGTCTTAAAAAACATAAAGCAATAGAGCTTTGATAGAGAGTGAAACAAAAAGCTCAACAAAACTCCCCAGTGAAAAACCTGGGGAAAGAACTGGGGGTCATACAGTTGTAATATAAGGATCAATACTAAACTTGGGCGGAAAAACTGTTGGCACAGGACAAAAAGGGAATGTATAGCAATGATAACATGCAACATGGTACAACAGCATAGCTGTGCTCTGGGGGCAGCTTGTTTGGGTTTGAATGTAACGTGGCCATGACAGCTTGAGCACTATACAGTACTGAACAGCTTCCTTAGCCAGGAGTAACTGAGGAGCCTCTGCAGAGTGCTCCACTGTCATAGCAAAAGTTGTTCAAGACTCATTTTGGGATCCTTTCCTATGCCCAAAGAACTCCGCACAAAAGGAAACTGCATGCAGGATATTTTTGGTCTACATCTCTGTACATCCTGAGAATGCACAGAAATCACAAGGTCCTATTTCTTATGGAGATGGTAACAAACATCTCTACAGCATTTACAGTATTATTACTCTACTACACCAAAATTCAGGGAGAAAAGTGACATGCCTTTCATATGCAAAAAAAACCCCAATCAAAATAATCAACCAAATTCCTTATTTGACTGGAAGTAGGCATGGAAAATTTCAGCTCCCACAGAAGAATTATTCTCAAAGCAAGAAAGCATACAAATTACAAAGACAGGTTCCCCTTCTGCAAGTCCGTTATGTCATTTCAACATAAAAAGTATTGTACTTCATTTACAAACATAAATTCTGTCTTACCTTGATAATACTTCCAATATGATTCTGTTGTATTAATATATCAGTTAATTCAGCAGTGTTAACAGGAGCTTTTAGAAACAACTGGAAAATAAGAAACAAGTATTAAGATGTTCTAGGCCTGACGATATATCATGGGCCACTTAGTAGGAAAAAAGCCAGTAATTTCTCTAAGTTGTTATGCAACACTGTTCCATTTTTAATTTCCATTTACTGAGTTTGTTTATTTAACTTCCTCCAATACAATACTGTAAAAACTTAAAATCAGCTTCTTGAAGCCCTTGCTCCTCAACCCTCCACAAGCTGGCATTCTGCATACCTGGTATCCTTTTGAGTTTGGTATGATCTGAATGCTTGCTGAGCATAGGTTTACGACAGAAAGAGCCAAAAGAAGACTGGAAGCTGCCGTGTTGAACAGACACATTATTTGTTTGTCTGTTTTTAAGGGCTGTAATTTATAAAAGAAAACCTGCAGGAAGCTGATTAACACTGAACGAGGTTTTCTGGGCAGCAACTAACACAATGAAGATGGAAAGATTATACACACTGTGGAAGAACAGTCCTACAGTTCATTGGGTAAAGTTCTTGAAACCATGGTTTAGGACACACATCTTCACTGTGGCTGTAATTATTTAATCTTCATGAGCTGAAGCACAGTAAAACTATGAATCAATACAGATAATGTAAACTGATGACCTTGCATAGCTCTTTAGATATTATTTATTAATGGACATATCAACCAAGCTAACAAGAAGTCAAAGTACCTGTTGTAGTAATTTCTTTATCCCATTATAGTCATTGTCTGATATGGAATGTGCTTCGAATTCAATATTCACTTCCTATGAAAAAGTAAAATAGAGAATATAAAATATACTTGGCAAGAAGCTATATCAAAACAAAGCTGAAGTATAAGAAACATGAAGACAAGTAATGGTCAACATCAGAAATGAAACTTATTTCCATCTTTCAGTAATCTCAGCAATTGTTACCGTTATCATTTCTTCTGTAATCTTTAGAGAGCATCTGTGAAAGTAACTTTTTAAAACTAACATACAAATTGAGTTGTGAACAAACCTTTAATGCTTTGTTCCTCCAATCTGGTCCACTCAATTACGTTTACCATAGCCACATAGACTCTTACTGTAGAGAGGCTTGATCCAGGCAGTTAAGCTCTTAAAACTGCAGGATAGGAGTGTAATGCCTTGGCTAAAGATGAAGATTGCTGCAGATGTTTAAACAACTACATCCAAAACCATATTTCTGCTATTTCCTGAAATCCTAATGGTATCATTAACCCCACTCTGGAAGTCTGTTCAGTAGGCACACGATGAGACCTCGTCACAGCAAAACAGAATGTGAACTCCTGCTTCTCCTTCCAGAACAAATGCTGTGCACGAACCAAACGTTTTTACTGGTATTCTATATTAATAGTACTGCCTGCCAAGGTTGCCTTGCCTACTGTTGTGGTTTAACCCGGCAGGCAGCTAAATACCACACAGCCGTTCACTCACTCCCCTGCCCTCCGGTGGAATGGGGGACAGAATCAGGGGGGAAAAAAAAAAAAAGTGAAATTCATGGGTTGAGAGAAAGACAGTTTAACAGGACAGAAAAGGAAGGGAAAGTAGTAGTAGTAATAATAATAACAATAATGATAACAGGATATACAAAATAAGTGATGCACAATGCAATTGCTCACCACCCACCGACTGATGCCCAGCCAGTTTCTGAGCAGCAGTCGCCACCCCCCCAGCCAATCCCCCCCCAGTTTATATACTGAGCATGACGTCACACGGTATGGAATATCCCTTTGGCCAGTTGGGGTCAGCTGTCCTGGCTGTGCCCCCTCCCAGCTTCTTGTGCACCTCCAGCCTTCTCAGTCGGTAGAGCATGGGAAGCTGAGAAGTCCTTGACTAGTGTAAGCACTACTGAGCAACATGCCCCCTCCCAGCTGCTTGTGCACCTCCAGCCTTCTCAGTTGGCAGAGCATGGGAAGCTGACAAGTCCTTGACTACTGTAAGCACTACTGAGCGACAACTAGAACATTGGTGTGTTATCAACATTATTCTCATCCTAAATCCAAAACACAGCACTGTACCGGCTACCAGGAAGGAAATTAACTCTATCCCAGCTGAAACCAGGACACCTACCTATTCTTCTGTGAACCACTGTTCAAGATCATCCAAATTTACTTTGCCTTTTAATTGTTGGTTTGGATTCCACTTTCTGAAGAATCTAAACAACTGAGCCTTACTTCTGCCACCAATTAGGACTCATAAATCTCCCCAATCCCATATCAATGTCATGGTCTTTATTGTCCACTGGGAGAACAGCCTTAAAGGACTGTTTACAATGTAGAAAACAGGTATACAACCACTTGGGGGGGGGGGGGGGGGGGGGGGAAAAAAAAACAGAAGCCCGGA